CATTTATGTAAAGATTCAAATTTTTGATGCGTCGTGTATTGTCTGTGCACTTCGTCTTTTTTTTTTAAAACAAAAATATCCAATTATTCTTAAATTTTAACCAAAAAAATAAATATTGTGACGAACTTTTTAATTTCATATTAGCGCATATTAATTATTAGTGGAATGTTAAATATTGCATTGCGGGTGTTATTGTGAAGATGTTAAGTTTTATTTTGTAACCATGAATCGAACAATGTTAGACTAACACATTAGAAACCTGTAACAAGCACTGGATGGCCGTTTCGTCGTGGTATGGGACACTTATCAGTGGCAGTGCGTACTCCATGACTCCTGCACCCCCACAGGATTCGAACCCAGGACCTTCGGTATTGTGCGCGAATGCCCTAAACCGTTAGACACACTGAGCCGAAATCTGACGGTGTTGTTAATGTCTAACTTGATCAAATTCACGGAGTTGCGCAACCTCATTACCCTGTATACATCCGAACAGGTTTTGAACTTCACTGGTCATGACTTCTCACTAGAAACTCGGAGAAGATTCCCCCCTCACCAAGCTAGTCACTAGTGAACAAATGTAATTGCAATGCGGGGTTGTTGTGAAGATTGTTAAGTTTTATTGTAACCATGAATGATGAGTTCCTATGCCAGGATGAAACGGCCGTCTTTTCAGTGCTGTTCCAGGTTCTAATGGTGTGGTCTAACATTGATCGATTCTATGGTTACCAAATCATGTTAAATTGTTCTCTTTAATTACTTTGAATTATGCCAATACTTATTTAATTAAGTAGTATGTTTGTGAGTTAACATTGAATCAGTTTCTTTTTTTTGGTAATTTTATTTTCACTTTCGTTATCTGTTGATCTGTAAACGACTCTGACTGTAGCTGCAACTTTGACATGGTGGTTGGACTTGCCTATCGTGATGACCTAACCAAGCTATATTGGCTGGGACATATGTTCTTGTAGGTTCTACCATGCCAGACAGCTTGATTGGAGCGCGGTATGACTAAAAACAACAGAATAAGGTCTGAGGGTGAAGTCTTACTGCTGATTGTAGAGGGGTTTTAAAGCAGTAAGGTGTTTTCTTCGGACAACCAGTATCTGCAACGATGCTGCCCTCTCATAAGGAAGGAAGAGGTTAGTAACGATCGACACAAGGAATTTCACACATCACCTCACCTCACGGATTTCCGTCCCCAGCGGTAAGGTCATTTAAAGTGAGGAGCTAACACTTCAAAATCTTCCAATAAAATGCCGTTCGTGACAAGCCTCAAGCATTTGTTCCTTGAGTTTAAGAAACATAATTCCTTGTCTTGTTGGCAAACAGATCTAATCTACGTGGATTACCATTTAGTATGCATGTTATATATGAGTTTCTCCAAATTCTATGCTCTTGAAATCTCGTTGCCTCTTCACTCGAATACGTGTCTATAGTTTTGCACACCTAGTTAAATAATCTGTCGTTTCATTAATAGCGTTACGTATTAGTCGGTATAGATATTCACTTTGTCTAATATGATGTTTGTCAACAGTATTGCTCACTTACTTACTTATGCCTGTCACCCCCCTTGGAGCATAGGCCGCCCACCAGTTTTCTCCAACCAACTCTATCCTGGGCCTACCTCTCTAGTTCTTTTCAGTTTTTGTTCATTCTTCTCATGTCTTTCTCTATTTCTCGGCGTAATGTGTTCCTTGGCATTCCTCTTTTCCTTTTACCTTGAGGCTTCCACGTGAGGACTTGTCTTGTGACGCAGTTCGGAGAGTTTCTCAGTGTGTGTCCTATCCACTTCCACCGCTTCTTCCTGATTTCCTCCTCCACTGGAATCTGATTTGTTCTCTTTCACAGTTCGTTGTTGTTGATGGTTTCTGGCCAAAGAATCCAAAGTATTTTGCGTACACAACTGTTAATAAACACTTGTATCTTCTGGATGATGGCTTTGGTAGTTCTCCATGTTTCCGCTCCATACAGTAGAACTGTCTTGACATTTGTATTGAAAATCCTGATTTTGGTTTTGGTTGAAAGTTGTTTGGAGTTCCAGATATTTTTCAACTGTAAAATGCAGCCCTTGCTTTTCCAATCCGTGCCCTCACATCTACATCAGATCCACCTTGATTGCTGATGATGCTGCCAAGATATGTAAAGGTGTTAACCTCCTCCAAGGCATCTCCATCAAGAGTGATTTGGTTGGTGCATGTTGTGTTGTATCGTAGAATCTTGCTTTCTCCTTTATGTATGTTGAGACCTACTCCTGCAGAGGCTGCTGCTTCACTGGTCGTCTTTTCTTGCATTTGTTTTATTTTTCATGGTTAGCGTTTTTTTGGCAAGTTAGTTTTTTGGTGAGATGGGGTCACCAACCCCATGCACAACCCTCCTCTTTTATCCGGGCTTAGGACCGGCAGAAGCCCCGAAGTTTCTACAAGCAATGTTCAAAAATGTTCATTTTATTATTTAGTAATCATATATGAACCAGTATTACACAATTGACAATAAAACTCTATGAACGCAATCAAATGAATTATATTTGACATTTGAATTAGGCGCGGAATTATTGTTTTACAAATAAGTCATTGTTTAATACAAATATTATGCACTGGAATTACGACTTATTGATTGTATTAAGCGCAGAAAAAAATGGGACTGTGTTGGTTAATGCGTTAGTTAATCGGTGGCATTCATTCTAAGACGTTTAAAAGTTTTTATATTGTTTTTTTTTCGAGATGTTTTTCATGTATGATAGTGTTAGGTTATTACATATCCTTTAGATATATAGTTTGCACGGTACATCATTGGTTTTTTAAATATTCTGACATTTAGAATACTAACTGTTAAATTCGAAACTAAATTGAAACATCCTAAGTATGACACTGGTTCGCCCGTAAATGCCTTGGTACGGCCGACAGTAAGGAAAGAGTATACTTTGTGGAAATTCTCTCATATGGCCATGCGTATATACCCACCACCACGAAACTCCTACTGACTTCCTTCTTGTGTCGGTGTTTAATTATTATCGGAATTGGGAAAATGAAAAGCTAGTGTGTGTGTGTGTGTGGTTAAGGCTTAAACCAGATTCATGGGTACGGAAGATCCACCTGAGTGGTGGGGGCGGTTGGATCCTGATGGTCACAGACTCGGTGAGTGGCCATTTAAGATAACCAGTTGTTCCCGTTTTGATCAATAGTATGCTGGCCATCAAATTCAATAGTTTCTTTTTTCAGTCATATAAATATTTCGATACGCCTTTTTTTGTAATCAGTGTTTGTGGTGCATTGATTTTGTCATTTCGTTTCTATAAGTTTTCTTGTCTCTATGTTGTTATCTATCACGCAGTTATATTCGTTCGAATTATGTTCTCATTTTGGGGCACAGTTTTGGAGGTTTGCGTTTTCACACATTTGAAACCATCAATCAATCATTATTAGACCACCATTAGAAACCTGGAAGCACTGGACGGCCGTTTCGTCCTGGTATGGGACTCATCAGCAGTGCGCATCCAGGTCGCGAAAAATCCCTAGATCAATCAAAGTTAGACATTAACACCATTAGATGCCGGCCTAGTGGTCCGATGGTAAGGCGTTCGCCTACAACCCTGAAAGTCCCGGGTTCGAATCTTGCGAGATGAAGGAGTCGTGGATGCGCACTGCCACTGATGAGTCCTATACCAGGACGTAATGGCCGTCTTGCAGTGCTTCCAGGTTTCCTTAATGGTGGTCTAACAATGATTTCAAAAGATATTCTCGTTGTTCAATCATAGACTGTATAATTCTCCTAATTAATAGTCTTTATTAACGGTAAAAAACAGTGAAACATGATGTACATCAGGTTGCGAAACAATGCTGCAATGCCAGCATCAAAGAAAAGGCTGCTATTGATTATTTTCAAGATTAAACAATTTTATTTTTTTGTACAAAGAAACAATTCAATGTTCATTGTCTTCTTTAGTGTACGTAAGTAAAACAAAAAGAAACTTGACAGATTTTCATTCTTGTTTATACATGTTGTGTATTTAATATTTTTCTTACCTAGATCTCATATGAATATTTAATTTTGGCACTTGGAATAACACTGCGTTATGATAAGGTAAGCATTTTATGAATAGGGGTTTATGTATGCGTGTCTATGTGTGTGTGTGTGTGCGCGCGCTTACGTGTGTGTTTGAGTGTATGTATGTTCATTGTTCAATGTTTCAATAGGTAACCGTGAACAAGTGTTTACAGATAAATGTGAAAAGATTTATTATTTTATTTTATGCTGATATTATAATTGTGCTTTGTTTTTTTTTATAAATTGCTTAACAAAGTAGAATTTATTGAGTTAATTTATTAATCTGTAATAAACGTTTATAGTATTCATGATATGCAGATATGCAGATTGTCATTTTTCGGAATATATATATATATATATATATATATATATATATATATATATATATATATATATATGCATGTGCTGCGTATGCCTAACCACCGACTGACTCGATGAGCTTTGTTTTGTAGTGTAGGAGTATTAGGTTGGAAGAAAGTTAGGGGCGGCCAGACCAAAACATGGCAGAAAAATGCATGAAGTCATTGACAAATGGACTGAGTCATGTTGGTAGATGTAGACTACCTAGTTGGGGTCCGCGAGATGATAATAATAATCGATGGTTAGAGACGTTGAATATAACATGGCTCAAAATCGTTTGCAATGGCTCAAGTGCATCCATTCGTTGTTTAACTCTCTCAAGTCCTAATCTTCTGGATTCGTCAGCACCTCTACCTTTATCTTTCTAAATTTATCTCACTGGATTATACTTCTTGAATAATGTCTTTGATCCCTAATATTCTCGATTACCAGTAATTCTTCTATTATATCTCTACCACTATAGGATTTGAATAGCTAATTGCGTGTCTGTGGTAATGTGATATGGCAACCTGAACTGATCTACGTACGTACGTACGAAGTTCTCCATTATTATTGATTGACAGCAGTAAGGTGTTTCCCTCGGACAACAACCAGCATCTGCATCGATGCTGCCTTCTCACAAGGAAGGAAGGAAGGGTTAGGAAAAGTCGACCATAAAAATGTCACACCTCACCCTACCTCACTGATTTCCGTCTCTGTCGTTAAGGGCTGTCCAATAAGGGCTTTTAAGAGCGGAGCTAATACTCAAAATACCCTTCATAAATAGGTCGTGCATGACCGGCCTCAAGCAGTTTTCCCTTGGACTCTGCGGTCACGCTCCGAGGTCGTTAAGACCAACGCTAATCTACTTTCCTTTTCATGTCCCTCAAGAAACATCCTTCCACAGTGTGCGCAGCCGGGAAGTGACAACCGCCCTTATACCCGTAACAGCACATGAGACCAAATTGGTCAAAATCAAATCCTTCTTAACAATGAAATAGTGATAAATATTCTTTGTTTGATAGATCAGTAGTGGCAATGAAGTTTAGGTGAATAAGTTTCATGAAGTTTCATTCTCCGATTTCTATTTTTACACCTAATGTTTGTAACTAATAATGTAACTGTTCAATTGAGAGAACAAAACTCTCATCATCATTTCCATATCATTTTCGAAGGTACCACTGAGTTTGAGTCGTGCGAGTAGCAAGAGTCATGGATGCGCATTGCTAATGCAAGTCCTAATGCCAAGGACGAAACGTCCTAATCTAACAATGATTAATTCATGATTTCAGTAATCTCCATTATCAATCAAAACAAAAGTAAACTAAATTATGTCATGAAACTAGGCAGTGGTTGACTATTTTACTTGAACTGTTTTGGGTTAACGTAGGCTACCTGATTGTTATTCATACTAGTTAAGGGGCCGTTAGGTGCATTTGTAGTGTGCTGATTTACTGCGTGTTCTTAAGCTCGGTTTATAAATCAGAAGATGAACTCGTATTGATGAATACGTTTATTCGAGGCACACCACAAAGCGAAGCGGAGAAGCGAATTGGAGAAGGCTAAGAGCTAACTCTTTGAGATAGAACATGACTAAGAATATATAGTCAGATAAGAATAAGACAGACATATGACAAGCGAAATAGGTATGCACACACATGAATAAAAGCGACGAATGATTGACAAGGTCAAATGACAAGCGATACAAATCATGTGAGTTCATGGGAATATTAAGAGATTACCATTAAAGCGAAAAGGATGAGTAAGCGCGTAGGCGTTAAGCAATGCTCAGTCGTACAAACGCATACAAAGCAGATAATAAAAAATACCAATGGTACATGTGAGTTGTTGCTATACAAATAGTTTGGTTAAATAAATTAATCGAAAGGGTTAGATGTAAGAGAACTGGAATATATGTGGAGGCACTACACATTAATATTTTCTTCTCCAGTTATAACCTTTTATGTTATCACTAGCACTATTTCATCCTTTACTTATTCTAACATTTTAGTTGACAATCTTATCCAAAGTGTTACTGATTTATTTTATGTTACGTAATGAACTAATTCATTGTATGTGTCAAGTTTTAGAGATTGTGCATAACGCACTGTCTACATTTGTTGATCACAACCTATGTAATGTTTAGTTGTTAGGATATTCATCAAATATCCTAAAGAAATTATTTTCTGTGTCTAATTTTTGTTGATCATTGTTTAAGGTCGTCCTAAAATATCATCAAGTTCACATGCTTTTAAATGTTGATTCCTATCAGGTAGTATTCATGGTCGACCTAATTGTTTAAACATGCATTGTCTGTAGAGTTTTATGCTCTTCTTCTGTACAAAACGTCATATTTTCTGGGTGCTTGTAGAATACACTTTCTATGTCATATCAAGACTATTTGATACCGTTAGTGGGGAGCTTGGGACAGTCGGATTAGAGTAGCCTATCGTGTTTTAGCTGTCGTTTACCAACTAAGGTGAACTTGTAATACTGTCAAGCATATCAATTAGTGACGAGCATAACAATAATGTAAATATAGACGATAGTAGACGGAGCATTTTCCTCCATCGTTTCTGTTAGTAGGACATAGATAGAATTAAAGCATGACTATGTTGCTGCGCGCTGATTGGCTAATTTTCTATCCAATCAGCTCCTGATCGATTCTTGGAAAACAGGGTAGGAAATTCTCGTGTTGTTAGCTATACGCTGATTGGATAAATCTAATCCAGTCGATCACGTAAATTACAATCCAGAAGCTTCTCATTTAAAAACTATAAAGAAACAAACGTTTGTATTTATTTTGCCTTCGCCTTCGGCTTCGTATTTCCATTTAACTTTGCTATTTGGAATATAATCTTTTTCCTGTTCAACTGTGTTTTTGATTCTTTGGAACTTGTCCAGTGTATTGTTTGTGGTCAGAGAATACTAAGCAATAAGATTTAGCTGGGAATTATTTAAGCGTAGCGTTACAACAGTTTCTCTGTAGATATATTTCTCTTACGAAATAAATTTCTCATTAGAATTGTTTCTGTTTTCCTTTCATTTCATCTAATTTAATTTGATTTTTCTTTAGATTATTGGCGCTGAAGAAGCATTAAAACATGATCCACGTGTTTGTTCTAATTATTCAACAGATTATGTAGAAAAAACATATCAAGCATATCAAAATTTTAATGGTGGCAATGCTGTATTCACATTACCAGCTGGACCGATTAAATGTGCTGGTGCACCACAAAAAGTGATGTATTTATTTGAAGATTATTTAAAACGAGTAAGCAAATATTGCTGTTGGTGTTGATGTTGGTATTGTGGTGGTGTTTGTTAAATTGACATTGTTAATCTCTTGCCATGAAGTCAGTGACAAGTGAACTGAGTCATGTTGGTAGATGTAGGCTACGTGGTTAGGGTCCGCGAGACGAAAGTCATCGATGGTTAGAGACTTTGCATGACATGGCTCAAAATCGTTTGCAACGGCACAGGTGCATCCACTCGTTGTGTTTCCTCTAATTCTAACGTTCTGAATTCCTCATAATCTCTATCTTTCTCCTTCTAAATTTATCTTACTGAATGATACTTCTCGATTCATATCTTCGCTCCCTAATCTTCTCCATTACCGCTAATATTTCTACTATCGCTACCATACTATGGGATTTGAGCGGATAGTTGTGTGTTTGTGCTAATGCGGTATGGCAAATTGGACTTTTGTACTCATGTACGAAGTTCTATGTTGTAAGTGACTGACTGTTCTCATGAATTTTCGGTTACTCACATCATGGATGAGTATCTTTTAGAAGAACTGCAAAATAAAATGGCATAATCTGACCAATTTGGTGCACATAGGCTCCAGGATTCTGTTGGAGTGAATGGAATATCAAGCTATTGTTCGTCACCTGCTCCATTGGTTTGTGAATCAGCGGAATGGTTTTTGAAGAATGGTTGTTGATATATCGGCGGCTCTTATGCTTTCCCGACTGAAATCTGTATGTCATGTAAAATTGTGTTACTTTCAGGCCCAAACCATTTTCTAACCTGTCTGGTTGTTGTAAGACAGTATTCCTACAAATGTTGGTTGTTTGTAAGAGAGATAACTTACTACTTTTACACTGTAGGTACAGTCGACAGCAAGATTTCATCATCAAACATTGAGTTGTTACTTTTAATTTTATGGGATCTGCACCGGCGCTCCTAGAAGAAAACCATCGACTTTTGTATCAGCCTCTCTGCGCATTATCTAGTTTCACTCACAAATTCAATAATTTGCGCGGTGCATGCATACTTAGGTGTCCTGCTTGCACTAATGTTTGTGTTTAAATTTGATAAATTCGCTTGTAAATCATTGTGCCTGACATGGTTGGAATTGAAACCAAGAAACTGTTCAACCGAGTACAATCATCATGATCGGTAAAGCCGATTACCATCTTAATAATGAAGCAGCTATATTTGCATAGAACCAATAAGTTGGCTAAAATGTTGGGAAATATCTTTCTCTTCGACATGAGATTATTTCCTTAAGCTGTATTTGTATCAGTTAACTGATTGAGATGATACTCATGTTTCTTGTCTCAAAAAATTACTTCATTCAGTTGCACACTCAGAAAGTATGTTTCAATTCGTAGTTAATTTTCTAGATGAGTAAAGTGATAAACTTTTTGATTGAATTAGACAGAATTGAACATTTAAAAATTTAAATTATGATTTAACTACTTACAAACTATGTGGTCAGTAGTATGAATAAAGTGAGGTTGTAGGAATTTGACTATACTCTATGTATTGTACTCACAGATAGGTGTAGTAAATTGAGAGGACGAAAAACGATTGCTTGGCCAACGTTTAAACCTGGTTGGTGGTTTTGGAGAACCTATGGAAAGTAGTTGAAAGACCTAGATTCCAAATCAGTGGTGTATATCAGTTCCAGAATCTTGAACAAACAAATGATGTATTATGGCACTATGTACTGACATTAGTTCAATGTATTGTGATATTGGTGGTCGGTCTTGCCTATCGCCATGACACAACCGAGCTATATTGGCTGGAACATATGACCCTGAAGGTTCTACTAAAAGCAGCTACTCAGGGTCTGAGAGCGAAGTCGTACCACTGACTGTAGAGGGTTGTGACAGAAGTAAGGTGTTTCCCTCGGACAACCAGCATCTGCAGCGATGCTGTCTTCTCACAAGGAAGAAAGGGTTAGAAAATGTCACACCGCACTTTACCTCACGGATTTCGGTCTCCGGCGGTAAGGCCTTGTAAACTAGAACGGAGCTAACACTTTATATACTACCCATAAAAAGCCCGTGCATGACCGGCCTCAAGCAGTTGTCTCTGCCGTCACACTACCAGGTCTCTAAGAGCAACACTAATCTACCTTTGTTTTCAGGTTCTTCATGCAATACCCTTTCAATGTGTGGGCAGCCGGGAAGTGACATCTGTCTACATACCTGTAACAGCACACAGAGGCTAATTAATCACAATGAAATCCTTCCCGCACCCCCCTAATATCTCTCTTATCTCCACGTCTCAATTATCTCACATTCCTTTATCATGGTACAATGCCAAATGTTCTATCTTGCTTAGACTTATTTGTGTAGTATTTTACACTTTTGACTACTCTAACACAAACCAAAAGCATAAGACGCTGTCTACAATCAAATAACCAATTGAAATTTAAAAAGTCTTTATATTTTACTTCTGTGTTTATATATGTGGTGTGAGCTACTTATAAGTAGTATATGACGTGAGCGTCAACGTAATGTCTAGCCAGCAGAAGATTGGGGAAGATCAAGAAAGGAAGAGTTAGAAGAACACAATGGAATTTGTATGAAATGCACGAATAGTGTATGACAATGGATTGATGTTTTGCAACAGGAACAGTCCAGTTCGATATGATGGACTGATATTTTGCAAATTAACAACGATTTACGATATGGTTTTCCGATTTTATACTGAGTAACTCTGTAATTTTCGCTAAATACAATTCGGTTGCCTCACCTGTGTTCTCGTTCACTACATATATTCAATCAATCCGCATAGTATGTCCATATATGTGCCAATGAAGACTGATCAGAATTCAATTGTAAAATATCAACTCAGTTTATTTCAAATCTATTAATCATATGTCACTGTTTATCACACGTATATTATTGTATAATTTATTTACCGAATAACAAAAATTAATTATAGTCTAATGTAAATAAATTTAGTGAACACGTATTAACTAGAGTGCATTGTCTCTTATGATGAATATTTATACTTAGTGAATATACAATGATTGATTCAGTAACAGTTAGCCAGTCAGTGAGTCAGTCAGCTACAACGCAGAACTTTATACGTACGTATATCAGTTCAAGTTGACATACCTCATTAGGACGGAGAGATGGTATTATCAATTCAAATCCCCTAGTAGTAGAGGTAGTAGTGTGGTGCGCGCTACTTATAAGTAGTATATGATATGAGTGTAAACGTAATGTCTGGCAGCAGAAGATGGGGGAAGATCAAGAAAGGAAGAGTGGGAACACAATGGAATTTGTATGAAACGCATGAATAGTGAGTGAAATGTCAGACAATCGATTGATGATGGATTGATATTTTGCAAATTAACGATTTACGATATGGTTTTCCTATTTTATACTGAGTAACTCTGTAATTTTCGTTAAATACAGTTCGGTTGCCCTCACCTGTATACTGCTTCACTACAGTAGAAGTATTAGCACTAGTCAGTGATCGAAGATATCATTCAAGAGGTTATATCACAGAAGAATCCATGTACAAAGGAAAGGGAAAAAGGTGGTGAGGTATTCAGAAGATGGTAATTTAAGAGAGCACAAAGAGTGGATGCATCTGCACCATCGTAATTAATTTTGAGCCATGTTATTCAAGGTCTCGAACCATCGTTTTGCGGACCACAACCAAGTAGTCTACATTTACCAACATAACTCAGTCCAGTTGTAAGTGACTTCAAGGATTTTTACCCTGTTTTAGTTTAACCACCTGTAGATTTCTTCCGACCTACCCCTGTACCAGACATCATCGCTCGTCCAGCAATTCGGTAGTTCTGCATTCGTGGGCAGAGTTTTGGAGGTTTGTGTTTTTACACATTTGAAATCATCAATCGACCATTTTTAGACCACAATTAAAAGAAACCTGGAAGCACTGGACGGCCGTTACGTCCTGATATTAGGACTCATCAGCAGTGCGCATCAACGACTCCTGCACCTCGCAGGATTCAAACGCGGGACCTTCTTTATTGTGCGCGAACGTCTAATCATCGGACCACCGGGGCCGGCACCAAATGGTGTTAATGTCTAACTCTGATTGATCTACGGATTTTGCGTGACCCCACCGATTTGTCTTTGGTAGTTACTACCTACACCCGACATGGTTGAACTCCATTGGTCATGCGTACAACACCGAAGGTCCCGGGTTCGAATCCTGCGAGGTGCAGGAGAAGTGGATGCGCACTGCCACTGATGAGTCCCGTCTTTCAGTGCTTCCAAGTTTCTAATGGTGCTCTGTCTAACAATGATTGATTGATGAGTTCTGTATTCATAATACATGTCTCAACCACTTGAACGGATGAAGTTTGACTACTTCATCTAATAATCTGCCATGCTTACCTAGTATTGCTTACTCAATGGTCCCATAATATACACGAGCACTCCTTCAAAAACTCTTATGATCAAATAAGTGTTGATTTTTGGCTTATTTTTTTTATTCTTGACATTTTAATGTCAATTCATTCTACAAATTTTTTTATTTGTTTTCTCTAGTCTGGTAAAAAAATCATGGCAAATATTCATTATTTTACTGCAACAAATAAAATGTTTTCTGTTGAAAAATATTCGAAAAAATTAACGGAAATTTGTGAAAAACGTAATATTCACTGTAATCTGTCATATAATTTAGTTGAAGTAAGTTTAAAAAAATTTTTTTCATTTTTTTATTTCAAGATTTGCTTTGTTCATGAACGAACGCATTGAATTCAGATGAGATGATAGTGTTTTAGAAATTTATAAAAATGGTGTATTACCTAAAAATTGTTGCGGGAAACTCTCCCTATGCCATTGAACATTGTAACCTAATAGATTCATTGATCGATTGGTTGAATTACACACTCTCTCATTAAATCAAATAAATGTATGTTTGTGTGGTTGTGTGCTCATAGGTTTACTTGCTTCAGTTTAGCAGTTTACACAGGCAAAGCAAGATCTTTCCAAAGGCAATCTGTGAATAATATCTGACTTGACTTTTTTATAGGTGAATATAAGTTTCTCTAAATTTTCAATATTAGAATATTTGATGAATGCTGGTCACATGGTCTCGCTTAACAATGATTTTGAAATCATTTACGAGAGATGCTTCGAAGACATCTATAATCAAATACTAATAACCTACGAATGTCCTCTACTCTCACTGGCCATGTTTTACATCCGTATAGTAGGACGGAGTGATCTGCTGCGCAGTACACGCCCAATTTTGGTTAGAGAACGGATATCTCGCCTGCTCCACAGGTGACGGAAGTTAGCTTTCTGTATCGGTGCTGAGATTTCGTCAGTCACCAGGCAATCAGCATTGATGAGACTCCCCAAGTAAGTGAAGCGGTCTAAACGCTTGACTACTTCACTCCCTACAACTAGTTCAGGTGCCGATGCAACCCAATCTTGAAGCAACATTTTGTATTTCGAGTAGCGAAACCCCACCCTGAACATGCTTGCATTGTTCCTTAAGGTTTTCAGAAGAAAGCCGCATTCATTCTTCGTGTTCTCTCAAGTCGTAACATTTTGAATTCCTCATCACCTTTATCTTTTTCTTTTCAAGTTTATTTCACGAGACTCTATTTCTTGAATAATATCCCTGAACCCTAAAATTTACGGTTACTGATAACACTTCTACTACCTCTACTACAGTGGGATTTGAAGGGAAAATTGCATCTTTGTATCTACTGTGGTATGGTCACTTTGAACCGATGTACGTACGTGCGTACGTACGAAGATCTATGTTGTTGTTGACTGACTAACACTTAATTTTCTATTCTCAGTAAAAAATCAATGTTATTTCATTCATCTCAGGTTGTTAATCTTTCATATTTTTTTGCAATTATGATCTGTGTTCACTTATACATTTTTGATTGACTTTTCACTCTTCTCCATGCCTCTCAAGTGATCAATTATCTTTTTTGCACACATTTTGATTTCATCTTATTATTAATCTTTTCAATTTTTGATTATGAAGTATTGGTATACGACCAATTTATGATCATGGGTCGATCAGTATCAGATCGTTATTATGTACCTTGATTCACTGGACGGTCGTCTAGTTTCATTTCATTGTATTCTCTCAAATCCTATTATTTTGCATTCCTTACCAACTCTATCTTTCTCTTTTTAAATTTATCTCACTGAACTATACTTCTTGAATAATATCAGTCAGTTGCAACGTAGAACTTCGTACGTATGTACATAAGTTCATGTTGCCATACCACATTATTAGCACAGAGAGGCAAATGTCAAATCGAATCCCATAGTGATAAAGATAGTAGAGGTTTTAATGTTAATAAAGAAGACTAGGGTTCGAAGATATTATTCAAAAAATATAATTCAGTGAGATAAGGTTAGTAAGACAAAGGTATAGGTGCTGGCTAATCCAGAAGATTAGGATTTGAGAGAGCTCAAAGAGTGGATGCACCTGCGCCATTGCAAACGATTTTGAGCCATGTCGTTCAAGGTCTCTAACCATTGATGACTTTCGTCTCGCGGACCCCAACCAGGTAGTCTACATCTACCAACATGACTCAGTCCACTTGTCAGTGACTTCATGGATTTCTGCCATGTTTTGGTCTGGCCGCCCCTAGCTTTCTTCCAACTTGCTCTTACACTGCAAAACATAGCTCGTCTAGGCAGTCGGTGGTTCGCCATACGAAACACATGTCCTAACTTCCTCAACTGATGAAGTTTCACCACTTCATCTATTGATCTGCCATCCTTACCTAGTACTCGTTTCTTAACGACAGCATTGCTTACTCGGCTGTCCCACGATATACGAGCAATGCTTCTTAAACATCTATGATCGAATACTAGTAACCTACGAACATCTTCTACTCTTAACGGCCATGTTTCACAGCCATATAAGAGAACGGAACGAACTGCTGTGCAGTACACCCGCCCTTTGGTTAGCGAACGGATATCACGCCTACGCCATAAGTGACGCAGGTTGGCAAAAGCCAATCGAGCTTTCTGTATCCGAGCTGAGATTTCGTCAGTCACCAGACCGTCAGCACTGATGAGACTCCCCCTCAGATAAGTGAAGCGGTCTACACGCTGGACTACTTCACTCCCAATCACTAGTTCAGGTGCTGATGTAACCCAATCTTGAAGCAACATTTTGCATTTCGAGGGGGAAAACCGCATCCCAAACATGCTTGCATTGTTCTTGAATAATATCTTCAATTCCTAATATGCTCTATTACTGCTCATACTTCTACTACCTTTACTACTATGGGATTTGAATTGACAGTTGCATCTCTGTGCTAAGGTGGTGCAGCAACCTGAACTGATGTATTTACGTACGAAGTTCTACGTTGTAACTGACCGACTGACTGATTCGAATCAAAGAAAAAAACTCCTCCACAATCATCTACCTGATAGTTACAAATTTTCTCCACCATCTAGAAAACTATACCCAAATTCATATATATATATATATATATATATATATATATATATATATATATATATATATATATATATATATAATAAAGTCTCTAAAGAGTACTCGTCCAAACTCTTGATAATTCGCTCAATACTTTACCTAAGCAACATAAGTGATTGAATTTAAAGGATTTGATTTTGACCAATTTGGTCTCGTGTGTTGTTACGGGTATGAAGGTGGTTGTCACTTCACGGCTGTCCACACCGTGGAAAGTTGTTTCTTGAGGGACCTGAAAAGGAAGGTAGATTAGTGTTGGTCTTAGAGACCTGGGTGCGTGACCGCAGAGCCCAACGGACAACTGCTTGAGGCTGGTCACGCACAGCCTTTTGATGAAAGGTTTTTTTAGTATTAGCTCCACTCTTAAAAGCCATTAGTGGGCCCTTTTACCGCCGGAGACGGAAATCCGTGAGGTTAGGGTGAGGTGTGACAATTTTTAGGGTCGAACGTTTCTAACCCTTCCTTCCTTGTGAGAAGGCAGCATCTCTGTAGATGCTGGTTATCCGAGGTAAACAACTTATTCCTGTCATACCCCTCTGCAGTCAGCAGTACAACTTCACCCTCAGATCTTGAGTAGCTGCATTTAGTCTCATCATTCTCTAATCGACCTGCCTGACATGGTCGAAACTTCAGGAACATATATTCCAGCCAATACGTATCTCGGTTGGGTCAATGACGATAGGCAAGCCCGACCATCAACACGTCAAGGTAGCAGCTACGGTCGGTTGGAAATGATTACATTATTTCAATGAAATTTATCTTTTTTTTATATTTTCTTTTTTAGGTAAATCATCAAAATAGTGAAGTTGTATTTCAACATATGGATACAAAAGAACTTAAACGAATTAAAGTAGGTTATTAATGATTGAGAAAAAAATTTAATTGGGTCATGTTGTGTTGTGTTTCTGTGTTAAATTTTTTGGTTAAACTGAAATTATCCCCATTCACTTGAATAGTTCCAGTTATTTTTTATTCATTTTTAAAGCGCCATAAATTGGTTACATCTTCTTTGGGACTCGAGTCTATCCAATATGATGATTATAACTAACTCATATGGGCAACATGAGTTCTAGGGTGGTAGTATACAGTGAGATGCCGCTCACAAGTTACAACTGAATAGATGTGTAGTAAATGGATAGGAATGCATGACGCAATCAAAATGTTTTCTTTTTTTGAAAGTGTACTATTCAGTGTTCGCTTAAAATGTCAACTGTTTATCTATTTAATCAGTGGCTTCATTTTAATAGTTAAGACTGTAATTGATCAGTCCGATTGTATCAGAAAATGTATGTCTAAACTTATTAGCTAAATCGATAACACTTTGACGTTTGAAGTGAGCGCACATCCAGCTACAGACGAGTCCTGAAAAGGATGAAACAAATGTCTTGAATTTCACTGTTAGTAACTATCCACCTCTACTTACAGACAGACAGACAGATACAATGCAGAACTTCGTACATAAGTACATCAGTTCAGGTTGCCATACCACGTCATCAAAGAGCGGTAACTGTCAGGTCAAATCCAAGAGTGATAGTTATAGTAGAAGTATTAGCAGCAATGGAGAAGATTAGGGAGCCAAGATATGATTCGAAAAGTATAATTCATTGAGATAAATTTATAAGAAGGTAGAGATTATGAGGAATTCAGAAGGTTAGAATTAGAGAGAACACAAAGGGTGGATGCACCTGCACCATTGCAAACGATTTTGAGCCATGTCATTCAAGGTCTCTAACCATTGATGACTTTCGTCTCGCGGACCCCAACAAGGTAGCCTACATCTACCAACATGACTCAGTCCACTTGTCAGTGATTTCATGGATTTGTGCCATGTTTTGGTCTGGCCTCCCCTAACTTTCTTCCAACCTACTCCTACACCACAGAACACAGCTCGTCGAGGCGGTCGGTGTTTAGGCATTCGTAACATATATCCCAACCACTTCAACTGATAAAGTTTCAATGCTTCATCTATTGATCTGCCATCCTTACCTAGTACTTGTTTCTCAACGATAGCATTGCTGATACGGTTGTCACACGATCCACGAGCAATGCTTCAGATACACTTATGCTTGTGACTTCGTAATGTCCAAATCGAGTCAATCCGCACAGCATCCTTTATATCTCACATATAAGACTAATCAATGAGAACGATTCAAGCAATCAATACAAACGAAGAATTTTAATCACTGATAACTTTTTTTTCCTTGTTAATAGATGCGGTAATTTAAGTCTTATTGTCTAGTAATCAACTTGCAATCAGATTATGTAGTACGTATATTTTATTTATATGGAACGTGCAGTTTACTCTTAAACATTCTTTAAACACACTACTTCAATTCAAAATAATTTTTTAAAATGAAAATAATCATTTCAGTAAATATAAACAAAAATATACACTTTTCAAAAACTGTAAACAATGGAATTCAAGGTACAAAAAAAAAATCATCAGTACACACGTATAAAATGTACAACAAAAATATTTTCATCGTCTTGTCAATATCCATTTTGTAATGCTGATTGGTTGAAATAAGAACCAATCAGTTCATTCACACGTATAATATTGTTGTTGTCTCAGATAAATATTGATCGAACGACTAAGATCATCGGTTTTCGATCTTGATCAACAAAAAATCTGAATATGAAAATAATATTAACCAGATAAAAGGAAAAGCTTAAATCAAAACCAAGAGCAATCACTAATTTATCACTTCCAAGGCTACATCTTGACACTGAACACAAAGAATGGCAGGATGATGATCAGCTGATGGATGACCTTGAGTGGACCAATCAAAACTGAAATAAGACCTTTAAGGTGTTTTATACGAAATTGACAAAGAAACAATAGAGATAACTTGTATGTTATGGGTGACAAAGTAAAAAATCAGTTGATATTTCTGTTATAAAACGGAAAATTGAATTTATGTTTAAGTGTAAGCTGAATGAATGACCAAATATAGTGGCTTTCAATGAAAATCGTGCTCTATCAACAAGAGTGTTTCGTGAAATTCTAATTCTCAACCATAAAACTTTCTTAAGTTTGTGCGCAATAGAACAAAAAAGGATTGCATCATAGATGATGTCTTTTCGTAATAACTTGCAAAATCAAACAATCAACACCAGTTTAACCTTTTTATACTACTTATATCTAGCCTTTCAGCATCATAGGTGGTCTTAGTGAATGATGAACACTGTGTGAGTTGATAACCCGAACTCAGATGACTATCATCATAGTTAATGGTTGAACTAAGATCTTTTTTCTTTCTACTACAAAAGAATATTTGTAACATGTGAAGATTGATTTTTCATTGGATAGAAGCGATTAACACAATGATATTTTATGGTCTTTAAATGGTAATTGTTTGTATAGCTAGTCGGTGTTTCCTGATTGATTGTAAAACATTTTAAGGTGATTTCTCTCACACAAAACGATGTGATAGTTAGACTTGAATTTTATGGAGCTTAGGAAACCGACCAGCATTCTCTAACCTACCATGTCCTGTCATTTAGAGTTTGTTTTTAAATGTTGGTTACGAAAATGAAGCTAACCGTAACCATCTAGCTTGCTTCTATTAGCATAGCTCGGTTCAACTATTATTCTCTTTTTGTAGACTGGTTTAGTTTTTCACTTTACTACTAACTCAGCTAACATCATTGAGGAAGTCTATTGGTTAAACATACCTGATGTTTGTCTCAACTATCTAAGTTGATGAGAGGATATCTCTAATATCTCATCAATCTATTTGTCATGTATATCTTCAAGGAAATTTTTGATCGAATTCAGTAATCTACATATAAAAGCCACGTCTCACAGCTATATATTACATTGAAGAGCACTGCCGCACAATCAACTCATCTTTTAGCTGATAGTCAGATACCTCGCTTGTGTAACAAGTGAAGTGAATTGGCAAAAACCATTTGAGTTTTCTGAATTCATTCTGAGATTTCATCAGGCACCATATCCATGAAGACTCATGAGACTTTCAAGATAAGTGAGACGGTCAAGACACTAAACTACTTCAGTCATCATCATAAACTGAGGCACGTTAGGCATGCTTTTCATGCTTGGATTATTACCTCAGGCGATCATATGACTATTTTATGAGAGCCTTCACTTAACAGGACTATGTCAATTGTGTGTTTTCAGTCAAATGGAGAATTTCTTCATAGAAGATAGGTCGGATGATTCGTTGTGTTATCTTTGAAAGATTATCTCTATCAGAAATTTTGATGAACATTTAGAGTATCACTTGAAGTTAACTATTCTGATCAGAGTTCACTTACAACTTTGATTCAACTAGTAATATTCAAATAGACAGTTTGTACATGGTTATAAACTTCTTCAGTATCATTTTTAATAATGGACATTTATAAAACATGTCTGGCTCGATTGGCTTTTGCCAACTTGCGTCACTTATGGCGTAGGCGAGATATCCGTTTGCTGACTAAATGATGAGTGTACTACTCGGTAGTTCGCTCCATCTTACTTTATGGCTGTGAACCATGGCCAGTGAGAGTAGAAGATATTCGTAGGTTACTGGTTTTCGATCATAGATGTCTTCGAAGCATTGCTCGTATATCCTGAGACACCCAAGTGAGCAACGCTGTTATTAGGAGACGAGTTCTAGGTAAGAATGGCAGATCAATAGATGATGAAGTAGTGAAACTTCATCAGTTGAGGTGGTTGGGACATGTGCTGCGTATGCCTAACCACCGACTGCCTCGATGAGCTTTGTTTTGTAGTGTAGGAGTAGATTGGAAGAAATCTAGGGGCGGCCAAACCAAAACATGGCAGAAATCCATGAAATCATTGACGAGTGGACTTAGCCATGTCGGTAATTGTCGACTATCTGGTTGGGGTCCACGAGGTGATAATAATCGATGGTTAGAGACACTGAATGACATGGCTAAAAATCGTTCGCAATGGCGCCGGTCCATTTATTCTTTGTGTTCTCTCAAACCCTAATCTTCTGGATTCTTCAACACCTCTAGTTTCGACTCTCTAAACCTTTCTCATTTAATCATACTTCTTGAATAGTATCTTCTAACCCTAACCTCTCCGATTACTTCTGATTCCCTTACTACCTCTACTACTATTGGATTTGAATTGACAATTACATCTCTGTGCTAATAATGTGTTATGGTAACATGAACTGATGTACTTACGTACGTACAAAGTTCTACGTTGCATCTGACTGACTGACTGATAAAACTTGTCAATCTACTAAATCGGGTTAGGATATACAATTATAGTTGACAGTAATAGACAAATTTATCTGTATTTCAGATCTGAAGAACAACTTTATATATGAGCATTTGACTTTTCGGATAACTATGATAATACCTATTTGATTAGTTTACAGTTTGATCAATCAATTTAACCTTTGACCTAATAACCTTTCAACTAGTTCAATACAAAATGTACATAACACAAATACATTTTTTTGAATGGTACTCTCTATACAACTATCTAAATATGAAGAATGCAAGTTTTAAGAAGAAAAATACAAAACAATTCAATCCTTGAACAAAGCATTCTCATTTCTGATTATGTAAAATTATGTAAATGTGAAATCATTCGAAAATGATCTACATAGTAAAGAAAACTGATTGTCATTGTGTGGTGTGAGCTACTTATAAGTAGTATATGATATGAGTGTAAATGTAATGTCTGATAGTAGCAGAAGATGGAGGAAAATCAAGAAAACAAAAGAGTGGGAACACGAAAATGGGATTTGTATGAAACGCATGAATAGTGAGTGAAATGTCAGACAACAATGGATTGATGATGATCGATTGAAGATTTGCAAATTAACAACGATTTACGATATGGTTTTCCTATTTTATACTGAGTAACTCTGTGATTTACGTTAAATACATTTCGGTTGCCCTCACCTGTGTTCTCGTTCACTACAATTGATGTTTGTTTAAAAAAAATTTCATCTATTTGAAGTGTTGATTTCATGTGTTTAGTAATTCTATTATTACTCCGAGTGGAAGCTAGGTCGCTGATCAACATTCTCTAACCTTACTCTATCCTGGGCTTTTTTTTCCGGTTGTATCTAATTCAGTGTTCATTCTTATCAGGTCTGTTTACGATTCTCGGCGTAATTTGTTCTTTGGTGTTTCTCTTTCTTTGTTTCTATTTCACCGTGAGGGTTCTAATTTGTTAGATTAGAGTATTCAATCTTATTCTATATATTCTAGTTTATAGAAACTTCATCAGTT